CGATCCTCGGCGCTCTTCGTCAGGGCTTCGGGCTTTAAGGACTTAGGGTTTAGGGTTTAGGGTGTAGGGTTTTTGGTTGAGGGTTTAGGGTTTAGGGATTAGGGTTTCGGGTTTAGGGTTTAGGGTTTCGGGTTAAGGGTTTAGGGCCCTTCACCCGAAGCCCTAGGACCAGTCCAAGGATCACGTTGCCCTGCTGCTTGGGCTCGCCCAGCTCCTCATTCTTTTGAGGGGCACCTGCCCTCTCCAGATGCCGCCTCCAGCCAATCTTGCTGTTGGTTAGTAGGGTTTTTGGGTTTAGGGTTTAGGGTTTGTTTAGGGTTTAGGGTTAAGGGTTGAGGGTTTGAGATAATGAAGGGGAACGAGGTCAGGCAAATTGGTTGCTCGAAACCCACAGAAGGTAGGGTGAGCCAAAGAGACGAAAGACCATCTATGAAAAAACCGTAAACCATGCCAAGTGCAATTAGACACTTCTCTAACCGAGGTGGTTTAGGGTTTAGGGTTTAGGGTTTAGGGCAAGTAGCTGGTTCTGAGTAGGGAATGGGGGAATGAGGTACCCTATATAATCCCTTGAGGGGTATATATAGGGCCCTAATTCCCTCATTCCCTGCTAGCAGTAGGAATGGGTCGTTACTTGGAGGTTCATGGTACGCAGTAACTAATTACAGCCGTACTTATGACCATATTAGGACACTTCAGGGGCTTATAAGTGGGTTATAAGTACAGTTACAATTAGTTGCTGGGTACCATGAACCTCCAAGGAGAGGGGTTGACGGGATTTAAGGGTTTTGGAGAATTTGTTGGTCATTTTCCATTTACAAGTTGTATCACTCACTTGTTCAATTCTATTTCACTTTGTTTTGCTGTCAAAATCTTGGTATTTTAGGAGTTGATTATGAACGAACAGCATAGAAGGATTTAGGATTCTAATATTCGTTTGCTAAAAGGGGAACAGATGATGATAGTAATAGTAGAGTAAACGACCCCGACTATCATTACTGTCAGTTTCTTCACTTGCTTCTTGTAAATCTAAACGTTACATTTGCCAAAACATGAAGTTGCCAATTCTACATAAACTAATGTGCGCTCTTTTGCTGTACTTCATGGGGGGGGCGAATTTAGGGCCTAGGGTTTCAAGACGGGTTTAGGGGGTTTACTTTAGGGCTCAGACTTAAGCAGCGCTTTCTAGGGTTGAGTGATGCCGGTCCGGCGGCGTAGGGTGCGAGGTGTAGGAGAGCTTTGAAGCACCCATCTGCAAGACCCGAAAACCCCAAATCCCACTCCGTCCTTCAGCAAAGCCCTTAAACTCCCGGGAACTAAACCCTTAAACCCAAAAGAAAAAGCCCCATCATCCCTAAAACCCTTTGAAACCCCTCAACACGCCTTAATGAACCCTTCAAAAGCCCCTAAAACGCCAGCCCCCGCCGCAAGGCCTAAACCCTAAACCCTAAACCCTAAACCCCAAGCCCTAAACCCTAAACCCTAAACCCTAAACCCTAAACCCCCTTAAACCCCCTTGAAGCCCCCTAAAACGCCCGCCCCGGCCGCAAGGCCAGCGCCGGCGCTTGCACGCACTCGAGGCCGCAGGAGGTCAGGTCAGCGAGACAGGCCGCCATCGGCTCTTGGGGCTTTCGAGCTTTTGGTTGGGTTGAGGGTTTGGGGCTTAAGGGTTTAGGGGTTTAGGGTTTAGGGGCTTAGGGTCAGGGTTTTGGGGTTTTGGGGTTTAGGGTTTAGGGTTTAGGGTTGAGGGTTTAGGGTTTAGGGTTTGGGGGTGGGGGTTTAGGGTCTGGGGGTTTGGGGTTTGGGGTTCCGGGTTTAGGGCTTGGGTGAAGTCTGGGTTTAGGGCTTCGGGCCCTTGGGGCTTGGGGCTTTTAGGGTTTGAGGGTTGAGGTCTTCATGGTCCAGGCTTGGCAAGGCGCAAGGCTGAAGCAGAAGCGGCCTCACCACTAGGCGCACGCGCGCAACTTCCGAGGCGTGTCCGCAACCCCTCGGCCCACGAAGCTCTGATTGCGTGAAGGTTTTTGAGGTAAGGCGGAAACCTCCCTAAGCTCAAGGGTTCGGGCAACCCGAATTAAACCCTACAACCCTAAACCCTAAATCCTAAACCCTAAACCCTAAACCCTAATTCCTAAACCCTAAACCCTAAACCCTAAACCCTAAACCCTAAACCCTAAACCCTAAACCCTAAACTCTTTCGGCTCCCCTAAGAGCCCGAAGCACCCCCTCTGGGCCCTGCGCCTCGCGCTCGCCTGCTTGGCGTTGAGGAAGATCCTCGCTTCGCCCATGGCCTTCTGTGCCTCTTGGACGGCCTGTTGCGGGATGGGGTTTGGGGTTTAGGGCTTGGGGTCTAGGGTTTAGGGTTTAGGGTTCAGGGTGTAGGGTTTAGGGTTTAAGGTTTAAGGTTTAGGGTTCAGGGGCCCAGAGTTTTTGGGGGAAGGGCTGATGCTGCCACCCCAACCCCACATTCTTCGGGAGCCGCTCGGGCCAGGGGCTCCGACCAGGCCCTGAAAGGAACATGGACAACATATGTTCCCAAACCCCCGCCCCAAAACCCCAAAACCCCCAACCCACATAAACGCCTAACCCACCTAAACCCCGGAAGTTCCGAATGTCTAAACCCCTAACCCCTAACCCACCTGAACCCCTAATCCCTAAAACCCCAAACCCCAAAGCCCTGCACGGACCAGGAAGGGGCCTGCTCTGTTGAAGACACCGCCTCAGCGTTTTGTTCATAGGGGGTTTGGATTGGGATTTGGGGTCGAAGGTTTGGGGTATAGGGTTTAGGGTTTAGGGTTTAGGGTTTAGGGTTTAGGGTTTAGTGGCTTGGAATGTAGGTCCCTTTGGATACTCTCTGTATCTACCCGGAACGGATCGTATGAAATCAGCGGCCGAAGAGAAGACTTAAGGGCTGCACATGTTTTCGGCTACAAAGTTGTTGCTTTCGGCTGGCTTCTTGATGGCTTCTAGATGGCTTCTTGATGGCCTTTTGCTGGGTTCTTGCTGGGTTTTTGATGGCTTCTTGTTGGCTTTTTGCAGGCTTCTTGCGGGCTTCTAGCTGGCTTCTGGCTGCTTTGTCTCCTAATCTCCTGCGATCAGTATGTTTGCGAAGGGAGGGGGAGGGATCTGCTCTTTCAAACCCCAAACCCCAAAGCTTACCGTTTGCAAAGAAAACGAAACTGCCTCCCCTTAACCCCAGGATGAAACCTGAACCCTGGACCCCCAATCTAGCCCTAAACCCTGTATACTTAAACCCCAAACCCCAAACCCTGATCAAACATTTTGCTTAAACCCAAATTTATGCGTCAAAACCCGCACAAACCCCAAACTCCAGACCCTAAACCCTAAACCCTAAACCCTAAACCCTCAACCCTGAACCCTAAACCCTGAACCCTAAACCCAATCCTCCCCCTCCCCCCCAAATCCCCCCTTCGAAGGCCTGTCGGACTTCATCCAGGTCGTCCCCGCCGGCGGAAATCATCTCGGAGGTGATGACGGCCTTCTCCACGGCATCCTCCCGCGCCCACACAAGAACCCCTCGGATTTAGGGTTTAGGGTTTAGGGTTTAGGGTCTAGGGTCTAGGGTTTAGGGTTTAGGGTTTAGGGGTTCAGGGTTTAGGGTGCCCGAAACCCTGAACCACTTAGGGCTCAGGATTTCGGAAGGTTCAGGAGGGTTTTTCTGGCCTTCTTAAGGCTTTTGTGCCTTCAGGGTCCTGTGGGTTCTTAAAGCCTTGGTGTTCTTGGGCTGTTGTTTTACGGGATTGTCGGCTATTGGGGCCCTAAACCCTGAACCCTAAACCCTAAACCCTAAACCCTAAACCCTAATCGGATTCGGTGTTCGCAGGGTGGCCCTCCTCGGCGGCGTTGGCTTTGCTCACAGCCTCCGGAAGCACCTGCTTGGAGGTTCATGGGTACTTGTAACCGCTATTACAAATCTACTTAAAACCTACTGAGGGGACTTGGGTACTGGGATTCTAAGTACCCTGAACCTCCAAATGGAGGCAAAGGGCATCGGGGTGAGGGGCTTCGGATTTTGGTGCTTCAGAATTTGCTTTCTGGGCTTTACCAGGGGCTTTTTGGGCTTCAAGGGCTTTGGGGGGCTTCAGGGGCGTTCTGGGCTTTAGGGGCTTAGGGTGTAGGGCTGAGGTTTGAGTCTGCAACACGACAACCCTGTAAAGAGCCGACAAACTGCAGACCAACCCCAAACCCTCCCGGAACCCGCTTTGTTTATTAACCCCAACCACACCCCCCCCCCCCCCGCCCCCAAAAAAAAAGAAAAGAAAACAAATACAATAAAATAAAAAACGCGTGCGTGTGTATATATATATATATAAAGATGCGTATATATGTATTAAACGAAGATAAGAATAAACTATATATATATATTGATATTGATATGTGAAAAAAAAAAACAAAGCCCCCCCGCCCTCCCTGAAGCTGCCCAAGAGAAGCATAAAAAATAATCAGAATAAACAAAGCCCGCTCAAAAAACAAAGCATGGGTTTAGGGTTTAGGGTTTAGGGTTTAGGGTTTAGGGTTTAGGGTTTAGGGTTTAAGGTTTAGGGTTTAGGGTTTAGGGTTTAGGGTTTAGGGTGTAGGGATGGCCTCCTGGAAAACCGCCATGTCGCGCTCCTCCAGCGCCTTCTGCTTCTCGCCCTGCTCCGCCTGCTTCGGGGTTTTAGGAGTTGGGGGTTTTGGGGTTTGGGGTTTGGGGTTTAGGGTTTAGGGTTTAGGGTTTAGGGTTTAGGGTTTAGGGTTTAGGGTTTAGGGTTTAGGGTTTAGGGTTTAGGGTTTAGGGTGTAGTTTAGGGTTTAGGGTTTAGGGTTTAGGGCTTAGGGCTTGTGGTCTGACTTTGGGATTCGAGGGTGTGGAGAGTAGATGATGCTCAGGCTCGACTTGGGCCTGAATTTGCTTCCATTCCTCCGCCCATGGATCATGAGTTTCCCTACTACCCTTTAGGGTTTAGGGTTTAGGGTTTCGGGTTTAGGGTTTAGGGTTTAGGGTTTAGGGCTTAGGGTTTAGGGTTTACCCGTCTATACTACCCCCGCCTAGGCTTCCCCCCTTAGATAACCATAAATTAGGCTTAATTATCCCAAAATAGGCTTAACTATGGAGGGAACCTACCTTCTGCATTTTTAAGGGAACCCTGCGATTTGCGGGGGTCTATATTGGCGGTCCCGTATCTTCGTAAAGCCCCCCATCTTTCGCTGCCCACCCAAAAAATGAGCACAAGTTCAACCGCGTGATAACACTGTCGAGAGCAGGAACGCGGTTGCTTGCTGCACAAGCCACACCGACTGGCTTCATCATCACTGATCGGCACATCTACTAAAACTGAACTTGGAATCCTAGCAAAAAAAAGTAGATGTTAGCTGTTTCTTAGGAATTATAGTACCCACACGAGAAAATTCTGCCCAAGTAAGCCTGATTGGACCAAAAAGCTTGACACGAGATGATTTAGTACAGCGGCAGGCAGGCCTCGTTGCTGGACGGCGACTTAGATTACAGCTTACGTCTGTAGAAGTACACCGAAACCAAAATCTCCTAAAAATAACCTGCAAGTATTCCCTTATTTTGGACTTTGACCAGCTGAAGTCCACCACAACTTCACAAGCCTGCGCCCAACCAAAAAAAGCCTGGTTTAGGGTTTTGAAGGGTTTAGGGTTTAGGGTTTAGGGTTTAGGGTTTAGGGTTTAGAGTTTAGGGTTTAGGGTCTAGGGTTTAGGGTTCAGGGTTTAGGGTTTAGGGTTGAGGGTTGGGGTTCAGGGCTTAGGGTTTGGGGGGCAAAGACACCGTGCCTTGAGCTTGGAGGACCGGACCTTTCCGAGCTCCTTCGATGTGTGGGGCTCTGGCTTGATGAGGGTTGTTTTAGGGTTTAGGGTTTAGGGTTCAGGGTTTAGGGTTTAGGGTAGGGTTTAAGGTTTAGGGTTTAGGGTTTAGGGTTTAGGGTTTAGGGTTTAGGGTTTAGGGTTCAGGGTTTAGGGTTTAAGGTTTAGGGCTTGGATCGATCGCTTCCCGCTTGCCAGGACTGAGCTTTCGGGCTTTTGAGGGTTGAAGAATGAGGCTCAGGGTTTAGGGTTTAGGGTTTATGGTTTAGGGTTTAGGGTTTAGGGTTCAGGGTTTAGGGTTTAGGGTTTAGGGCTCAGGCTTCCGCAGCCTGCCAGGAACCAAAACACCCCCTCTCAAGCCGACAAGCGGGAGAATCATTCCTGGGATTGTGGTGATCCGGGGTGGGAAGCATGGGGCAAGTAAGGCTGAAGGCTCAGGGCTTGGGGGGGGGCTTAAAGGTCCTGTGGGCTTTCGAGCTGAAGCCTAGGGCCCTATAGGGGTTAGGGGGTTTGGGGTTTAGGGTTTAGGGTTCAGGGTTTAGGGTTTAGGGGTTCGGGTTTAGGGTTTAGGTTCAGGGTTTACGGTTAGGGTTTCGGCTTTTGCCGTATTTTTGAGGGTAGGGGAGAAGGCGCTCACCACCAGGGTGTGACATCATCGGTGACTGCTGAACGCATCGAAACTGCAGTTGTCCTGGTAAGAGTCATGCAAGTTCTACTTATCTCCTGAAAGCTTAAGGTTTAGGGTTTAGGATTTAGGGTTTAGGGTTTAGGGTTTAGGATTTAGGGCTTAGGGTTTAGGGTTTAGGACTTCGGGTTGAAAGGAATGTTGGGGGACCTAGGGCTTTCAGGCGGAAGATGCGGGGGGATTTCAAATAGGGGTACCCCTTCTAGACACCCCAAAAAACTAGATAACCCTTTTGAAGGAACCCCCGAAAAGGGTTTGGGGTTTAGGTTTAGGAAACCCTAAACCCTAACCCTAAACCCTGGGCCCTCGCCCTAAACCCTATTTTCGGAAGCCCCTATCTTCGGAAACCCGAACGTCGGAACGCCAAGGCTCCACGTTGATGGCTGACATGAGGGCCTGGAGCCCAGACCTGCCAGGAGGGGAATACGGTTTTGGGTTTAGGGTTTAGGGTTTAGGGTTTAGGGTTTAGGGTTTAGGATTTAGGGCTTAGGGTTTAGGGTTTAGGGTTTAGGGTTTAGGGTGGAGGGGAATTTTTGCGGCCCTGTGCGACTCTTGAGGGTTCTTAGGGCCCAGGGGTTTAGGGTTTAGGGTTGAAGCCTTAGGGTTTAGGGTATAGGGTACCTAAGTAGCCCCTAAATAACCCCCAAATTACCCCTAATGTTCCTAGAGTCCCTCCTTTAATCCCTTGACAGACTGGGCGGCCTCATCTGCTGAACTTGGCGCAGCACGTCAGTGTTGCTGCCGGCACGCCTGGGCTTGGCGTGGAGGGTTTAGGGTCTAGGGTTTAGGGCTTAGGGTTTAGGGTTTAGGGTTCAGGGTTCAGGGTGGGTTCAGGGTTTAGGGTTGAGGGTTTAGGGTTTAGGGTTTAGGGTTTAGGGCTTAGGGTTTGGGGTTTGGGGTTTAGGGTTTAGGGTATTGGGTTTAGGGTTTAGGGTTTGGGGTTTGGGGTTTAGGGTTTAGGGTACAGGGTTCAGGGTTTAGGGTTTAGGGTTTAGGGTTTAGGTTCTGGGGCATCAAATATTCACGAAGGAATATAGAGAGGCTGCGGTTCAGTGGATCTGAGAAACCCTGAATCCGCTGTCACGAGCCACCTGAACCACAAGAAGGATTGCCTAAAGGACCAGGGCGCAAGTTCTCATTGGAGGGTTGGGACTTGGGTTTTCGGGCCTAGGGTCCCTAGGCCCTAACTAAACCCTAAACCCAGAAAATTTCTTGAGCTCCTGAGGCAGCGGCTGCGCGTCAGTGAGCGTTTTCATGGCCTGGCGAGCAACTCAAATCAACTCTGGATGTCCGATCGAAAGGGTTAGGGTTTAGGGTTCTTCGGGTTTAGGGTTTAGGGTTCAGTGTTTAGGGTCTCCATCATGATTTAGGTATACTCCTTAACTAAGGGGAATTTGGGCTCTTGGGGTACGTCCCTGAAACCTTCAAAGCCCAAAAGGGTGGAGGGTTCAGGGGTTAAGGTTTAGCAAGGGTTTGGGGTGCAAACCCTAAACCCTGTACCCCAAACCCTAAACCCTATACCCTAAACCCTATATCTTATACCCTAAACCCAAGGCCTGGAGTTTAGGGTTTCAAGGCCTCAAGGCTAGGGGTTTAGGGTTTCAGGGCCTCCACGCCTGGGTTTCAGGGCTCGAGGCCTGGGGTTTAGGGTTTCAGAGCCTAGGTCAACAAGATTAGGTGTTTTTGTTGTGTCCGTTCGTTTCCAGCGTAGGCCTTTGAAGCTAAGATGATTGGAGAATACTTGTAAGTTTGCTTTCGGAATGGGATTCTCTGGGTGTTATATCCGAGCCGTAAATAAGCTTTACCATAAAACTGCTCGATCCGGAGATGCTGAACCCTAAACCCTAAACCCTATACCCTAAACCCTATACCCTATACCTTAAACCCTAGACCCTGTATGCTAAACCCTGCGACCCTAAACCCACCGAATGGGCTTGAGGCTTCTTTGCCTTTCGCCTCCGCAACCGGGTTGAGTGCCCATGGTTTCAGGTTCTTTTCGCCCTAAACCCTAAACCCTAAACCCTAAAACCGAAAGCCTAAACCCTAAACCCTAAGCCTACAAGCCTCCGTCAATGAAACCGCGAGCTTCGTCCCCAAATCCTGGGATGTTCGCCCTTTTTCTAACCCCAAAACGGGATTATGATAGGGGGTACAATATTTGCTATTATGGACTGTTAGTAGAACGGGGAGGTTTTAGGGTTTGGGGTTTAGGGTTTAGGGTTTAGGGTTTCGGGTTTAGGGTTTAGGGCTTCGGGTTCCCTGTGAAACATCCCAGCCTAAACCCGAAGACTTAAGGCTTCGGGCAGCTCAGTCGGCGCCTCAGCCAGACGCGTCAGCTGCGGCTGCAAAAGCTTCTCCGCTTCCCTCAGTCCTTCAATGCTGGAGCCCTACTTGGAGGTTCATGGTACTTAGTAACTCATTCTAACTGTACCTACAACCACATTAGGGCACTTAAGGGGCTTATAAGTGGGTTATCAGTACAGTTGTAATTGATTACTAAGTACCACGAACCTCCAAGTAAGCTACCAAGCTACCTAGGCGTTCATGCCTGAACCTTGAACTCTTTTAACCACCCTAAACCCTGAACCCTAAACCCCAAACCCTGAACCCTGAACCCCGAACCCAAATTACCCAAGAACTCTACAAGAAACCCTTAACTGTGACATGTCAAGCCACAGGCACAAAGTCTAGAAGTCCCCTGATGTATCAACAGGCGCAAGCCCCCAAACCCTCAATCCCGAACCCTAAACCTTAAGCACCAGACCCTAACGCCTAAGTCCCTAAAGCCTAAACCCTAAAGCCTAAACCCTGAACCCCAACTCCTGTAGTGGGTATGAGGGCACTTTGGGTTTGGGCTCCACCCTCAAGTAGGGTTCGGGTTTCAGGTTTCGGGTTTCGGGTTTCGGGTTTAGGGTTTAGGGTTTAGGGTAACCCCAAACCATCCCCTCCTTGGACTCCCACGGCCCCTTAAGAGCCATACAAACCCTGCCGCACGAGGTCCTTCCGAGGAGGTGTAGTCTCCAGCTGCAGCTTTGGCCTGTAGGGTTTAGGGTTTTGGGACTTGGGGCTTGTATGCTTTAGGGTTTTCGGGTTTCGGGTTTCGGGTTTAGGGTTTAGGGTTTAGGGTTTAGGGTTTAGGGTTTAGGGTTTAGGGTTTAGGGTTTAGGGTTTCAGGATTTTGGGGTTTCAGGGCTTCACGGTTTTCAGGTTCCGTTAAAAGGAACGGCAACTCTACGCAGTACCTCAAGTTGTTGCTTCGGTTCTTCTTGCGTCGGTTCAGGGTTTAGTGTTCAGGGTTCAGGGAGGTTTAGGGTTCAGGGTTCAGGGGTTAGCGATTAGGGGTTAGGGGTTAGGGGTTAGGGGTTAGGGTTGTTTAGGGTTTAGGGTTTAGGGTATAGGGTTTAGGGTTAGGGGTTTAGGGTCTAGGGCTTGAGCTCCTGGTCTGCAGCTTGCTTCAGTCCTTTGGCTTTGCCTCGTTTCTCTGCCAGCGGCTCTGCTTTGCCACACTCGGGAAGGGACTCGTGCCCCTCGTCCGTCTACTTCCCGACACGCACGGATCCAGGTACCGGCAATACATGCGTCCTTGGGGTACTGTAACCCATGCAGCCTTAAACCACAAGAAGAGCGACGTGAACCCGAACGCTTAGGGTTGAGGGTTTCGGATTTAAGGTTTAACCCCCTTAAGCCG